TCATCGACAGCCCACGACCGGTTTCGCCCTTCTTGGGGCTCATCAATTAGGCGCAGTCCCGAGTTTCCGTCAAACTTATGTTCTACATAAAACCAAATTGCATAAACTCTCACTTTCCTGGTCTATAATACAACAACTGTACTCCACCGTAGAATGTACACTCGCCACAAAAGCTCTCCAATATTTTATCATCTACTTCGGTTTTCCTCTTTTTTCCTATCGTTCCCAAAGGCGACCACGTTCTTCCAAACCCTATCAGGTATACTCACTGGAGTGTACACTTTTTGGAAATGTTCCACGACCGTGGAAGACAAATCTGGTTTCTCTTTTGGAAAGATTTTAATTCGGACAATGATCACGTAAACTTACATTTGTCCAGTTCAAATGAATTTTGTCAACTTTAATTCCATACTTACCGGTCTGCTTGCACTCGGAGATGAAAAGAAGAAGAAGGAGAAGGAGGAGAAGTAGAAGGTTGAGGTAGGTGAAAACCGGCCACCGAAATGACAAGCACTCATCAAGCGAGCAAAAGTGCAGAAGGCTGAGATGTGCGAGAGAAACAGACTTTCATAATAGTTTTACACGCCCAAAGAGACAGAGAAGAAAGTAAGCAGATGAATGAGGAAGCAAGCAAACAAGCAGGCAGATGAATTTCGCTCACTGAAGACCACTGGAGGCGCGACACCGATTCCAGTCCCGAATGGCTCGCAACATTCTCAAGTAGTAGACCGGATGGTAGTCATGCATGGCTGTAAATGCAACCAGAATCTGGTCGTAAGCCAGTTTATCACTCAGGCTATTCGATCCGTTTTGCTCCATCTGGGTTAACAGTTCGGTCAGATAGAGATCGATGGGATGAGGTCCACAACGCTGATTTTCCGTAGTATCGAGCACAGATTTTTTCTCCATATGAAAGCGCGGAATATATGATCCCAGGTGAGGACTGGCCATCACAGTAACCGTATGTAGAACACACACAATATAAAGTCCGCAAAAGAACCGCAGCAGAGAGAACGGACGAGTATAGGTCCCGGGCGAAACCATTGTCACAGACGAGAGAGGTGTTGCTCTGACTTTGTGCGATGGAGGTGTTACTCCTTCGAGTTTAAATGGCGTTACCGCGAATCAGCTTGTTTGTTTGAGTGCGGAGATATCCGAGATTCTCATTGGTCCGCATGAAATGTTTCGTTTGGATTACAAGAACTCAAGGACATATATTCACTCCTCTGTCCTTGACCGCGAATGAAACGTGTGTGTGAATAGTATCGTAAAGTTAGACTTACAGTTAGCGAACTGAGCATTTTTTCAGGTAGGAATAAACATCTGACGAACTGTACTCATCTACAAATTAAATTGGTTTTAACAAGCGGCTTCAGTGAGTCCCTGGTGAATCTCTACGTTAGTAGATAATGTATGAATAACTCGTAAGAAAGCACTTTACCTCTGTTATACAATGTCACTTATTTGGGCGTGTTTTCTCAGAAGTAACTAAACTGCACCCCTCTTTAAAACTTCAAAAACGTCAAAATTTCGACGGGACAGAACAAACTTACGGCATATTTCGACACCAAGTTGTTCCTCCGAGGCATGAATAGACTGCAATAGTATGCTTCTCTCACAAAGTGATAATAGGTTTTCGAGAAATACACTCATTCGCAAATCAATCCGGCTTTCACGATAGACTCAGCTGAATCTCTCGTCTATGCTATTCTACAACTGAATGTGCTGCAGACAGGCTACCTCATGATTCAGTTGGAAAGATATACGAGATATCGCAGTATATTTTCATGAAGGAAACTACTCACAAGTTTGCTGAAAGCTCTTCGACAGACCACTACGGCGGCTGTCATATCATGAACGATAGATTCAGTTGAGTCTCTCCAAAAAACCAAATTGATTTGCGAATGAGTGCATTTCTCAAAAACAGTCCAATTTGGGTTCAAGTAGAACATCAGGTTGACGGAAACTCGGGGACTGCGTCAACCTGATGAGCCCCAAGAGGGGTGAAACCGGTCGTGGGCTGTGAAAGAGATTTCAGCAACCTTGTGAGCAGTTTCCTTCATGAAAATATACTGCGATATCTCGTATATCTTTCCAACTGAATCATGAGGTAGCCTGTCTGCAGCACATTCAGTTGTAGAATAGCATAGACGAGAGATTCAGCTGAGTCTATCGTGAAAGCCGGATTGATTTGCGAATGAGTGTATTTCTCGAAAACCTATTACCTACTTTGTGAGAGAAGCATACTATTGCAGTCTATTCATGCCTCGGAGGAACAACTTGGTGTCGAAATATGCCGTAAGTTTGTTCTGTCCCGTCGAAATTTTGACGTTTTTGAAGTTTTAAAGAGGGGTGCAGTTTAGTTACTTCTGAGAAAACACGCCCAAATAAGTGACATTGTATAACAGAGGTAAAGTGCTTTCTTACGAGTTATTCATACATTATCTACTAACGTAGAGATTCACCAGGGACTCACTGAAGCCGCTTGTTAAAACCAATTTAATTTGTAGATGAGTACAGTTCGTCAGATGTTTATTCCTGCCTGAAAAAATGCTCAGTTCGCTAACTGTAAGTCTAACTTTACGATACTATTCACACACACGTTTCATTCGCGGTCAAGGACAGAGGAGTGAATATATGTCCTTGAGTTCTTGTAATCCAAACGAAACATTTCATGCGGACCAATGAGAATCTCGGATATCTCCGCACTCAAACAAACAAGCTGATTCGCGGTAACGCCATTTAAACTCGAAGGAGTAACACCTCCATCGCACAAAGTCAGAGCAACACCTCTCTCGTCTGTGACAATGGTTTCGCCCGGGACCTATACTCGTCCGTTCTCTCTGCTGCGGTTCTTTTGCGGACTTTATATTGTGTGTGTTCTACATACGGTTACTGTGATGGCCAGTCCTCACCTGGGATCATATATTCCGCGCTTTCATATGGAGAAAAAATCTGTGCTCGATACTACGGAAAATCAGCGTTGTGGACCTCATCCCATCGATCTCTATCTGACCGAACTGTTAACCCAGATGGAGCAAAACGGATCGAATAGCCTGAGTGATAAACTGGCTTACGACCAGATTCTGGTTGCATTTACAGCCATGCATGACTACCATCCGGTCTACTACTTGAGAATGTTGCGAGCCATTCGGGACTGGAATCGGTGTCGCGCCTCCAGTGGTCTTCAGTGAGCGAAATTCATCTGCCTGCTTGTTTGCTTGCTTCCTCATTCATCTGCTTACTTTCTTCTCTGTCTCTTTGGGCGTGTAAAACTATTATGAAAGTCTGTTTCTCTCGCACATCTCAGCCTTCTGCACTTTTGCTCGCTTGATGAGTGCTTGTCATTTCGGTGGCCGGTTTTCACCTACCTCAACCTTCTACTTCTCCTCCTTCTCCTTCTTCTTCTTTTCATCTCCGAGTGCAAGCAGACCGGTAAGTATGGAATTAAAGTTGACAAAATTCATTTGAACTGGACAAATGTAAGTTTACGTGATCATTGTCCGAATTAAAATCTTTCCAAAAGAGAAACCAGATTTGTCTTCCACGGTCGTGGAACATTTCCAAAAAGTGTACACTCCAGTGAGTATACCTGATAGGGTTTGGAAGAACGTGGTCGCCTTTGGGAACGATAGGAAAAAAGAGGAAAACCGAAGTAGATGATAAAATATTGGAGAGCTTTTGTGGCGAGTGTACATTCTACGGTGGAGTACAGTTGTTGTATTATAGACCAGGAAAGTGAGAGTTTATGCAATTTGGTTTTATGTAGGACATAAGTTTGACGGAAACTCGGGAGTGCGCCTAATTGATGAGCCCCAAGAAGGGCGAAACCGGTCGTGGGCTGTCGATGAGATCTCAGCAACCTTATGAGTAGTGCGTTATGAAATGAAGTCCCCCTTTTTTTGTAATTTCATGAGTTTTCGGATTCAAAAGGTACGCTGTTTGGATTTGTTGATATGTTATTTTGCATGTTGAAAGATCGATTGTCTAAAAAAATACTTGGCCCAGTCATTTATACTTTAGTCACTATGGGAGAAGTAAGCTGAACTGCAGGGCTAATTTTTCCCCATATGGTCGACAATAAGAAGGGTAGAATACTATTCTACACATTTATGTTCTTCTAAACATAGTCGTTTTGAGAGACTGACTTGTCGGTTTTAAAGAGCCATCAGCCGTGTTTGTGGATTTGATCAACATCGAGTGATGAATATCCAATGTGACTCGAAGAGACAAAGGGATTTGTGACCAGCTTGAAATAGTTAAGCCGGTGCATACACGACGNGCTATTATCCAGCGCGGTCTGCTCAAAAATGAAAGAAAAATTCTCACGAGACGCGTTAGGTGTGAGGATTGTTCACTTGAGCACGTCCAGATATGATCAGGTGACACAAATCGTCATACTGAGAGATGAGTGGCGCAAAATATCATCCAAGTGAAGGGTAGTCACTCTGCGGTTCAGCCGCTTGTGACCTAACGGTACTGCGTCCCACTACTTACAGGAAAGTCGCAGTTTTGAATCACTTTTCAGGTTCATAAGATGTGTTATGCTGACGGTGCTTCGCAACTTTTCACTTGACCGGTGAACGCATCAGCTGCGTAGATTTAGTCATTTCATGCATGGTTCAGAGTTCAACCTTATCTATGATGATCAGAGGCACAATTCAGAGTTGTGAACTGAATTGTCTTCAGATACCGGTTGATATTCCGTCCTGTCATGCTGGAAAGCTTATAAGCACTCGAATCGTTCAGCTGTAGCACCCTTTTGGTGCCTGGCTGCCATGCCACCAGAAAGAAGCACGAGGACTGGGATACTGCCAGGTTGCCCAGGCCTAGACAGGGGAAGTCGAGAGGCAGAGGTCGGTTTCGAACCACGGACCTTTCGGTCAGTAAATTCGCGCTCTAACCACTTGAGCCTTCTCACCCCTTATAAGCACTGTATAGCCGTATTGTCCTTGCTTGGACTAATCAGCAGCGCTCTTTTCACAAAAGTCAAGGGTTTTTGAGGCTGTGAGTCCTCGGATAGTAGTCTTAACCGTTTGACTGAACCGCCGTCTGATAAGCTCTCACTTGATTTGCTGATATCTTCTGTGATGAACCCTGCCAATGAAAACGGAGCAACCGACTTAGATTATTAGTACAAAGGTGGGGATAGCCATAATACAAATCAGAAGGTGAAAGTGCACTAATAAAAGTTTTTAGTAGTTCTGTGACACGTATAAAAATAAATACAGTGCGAAAATGGGAGCAAGTCAAAAAGGGAACTTATCGGGTGCGAGAGTTCCTTGGTGGAAGTCCGGACGGCGGGAACGTGTTTTTCTCCGCAGTCCGACTGCTACACGTACTCCATGGT